CAGGTGAGTGACAACTTAGGGTGACAGGTGACAGGTGAGTGACAACAGAGGGTGACAGGTGAGGGTGACAGGTGAGTGACAGCTGAGGGTGACAGGTGAGTGACAACTTATGGTGACATTGTGTATCAGCTGGTAAATGGGTCAACAGTGTAGTTGTTCAGAACATGGTGTATTTGTTGCTTAGTGGGAAAGCAATCCAAGACGACAAAATTCTATGTTCTGGGATGCGTCCCTTTGCCACGCTTGGAACGTATGAATTTGGGTTAGATTCTCGGTTCTCCCGTAACGTCTCTAGGTTTGTCAGCACCATTGCCGTGTTTCTTGGATTTACAAAAGTGGTCAAGTTCTGAGACCTGTATAATTTCTTGCTTTCCTCCCACATTAAGCTGACACTCCGTTTATAACAAAATACGGTTATAACAAATTGTGGTTATAACGAACTACGGTTATAACGAACCGGTTATAATGAGCAACGGCTATAACAAACTGTGGTTATAACTAACTACGGTTACAACAAACTGTGTTTATAATGAACAACGACTATAGCGAACTGTGGCTATATCGAACTGTGGTTATAACGATCAACGGCTATAATGTACTGTGGTAATAACGAACTACGGGTATAACGAAATATGGTTATAATGAACAATGGCTACAACGAACTATGGTTATAACGAACTTGGTTACAACAAACTACGGTTATAAGGAACTATGGCTATAACGAACTGTTGTTATGACGAAAAACGGTTATAATGAACTGGTTATAACGAACTGTGGTTATAACGAACTATGCTTATAACAAACTATAGTTATAACGAACTGTGGTTATAACGAACAATGGCTATAACGAACTATGGTTATAACGAACTGCGGTCATAACGAACAATGGATATAGCGAACTATGGTTATAATGAACTGTGGTTATAATGAACTGCGGTCATAACGAACAATGGCTATAGCGAACTATGGTTATAATGAACTGTGGTTATAACGAACGGTGGTTATAATGATCAGTGGCTATAACGAACTACGGTTGAAGGAACTATGGCTGTAATGAACAACGGTTATAACGAACAACGATTATAATGAACAATGGTTATAATTAACTGTGGTTATAACGAACAATGGCTATAATGAACAATGGCTATAACGAACTGTGGTTATAATGAACTGTATTTACAACGACTTGCGGTTATAAGAAACTATGGCTATGACGAACGGTGTTATAACGAACAACGGCTATAACGAACCGGGTATAACGAACTGCGGTTATACCAAACTGTGTTATAAGGAACCACGGTTATAAGGAACTATGGTTATAACACATTGCAAGTAGGGAATTTTTATAACCGCAATTTATTGCACTTGGAATACTTTTTTAGCAGAGTTGAAAATAACGCTTGAAGCAAACGCTTTAACCACTAGCCTACCGCAACGTCCCACCATTAAGTGAGCGAGTGAGTGAGTTTAGTTTTACGCCACACTCAGCAATATCCCAGCTATATGGCGGCGGTCTGTAAATAATCGAGTCTGAACCACACAATCCAGTGATCAACAGCATGAGCATCGATCTGCGCAATTGGGAACCGATGACATGTGTCAACCAAGTCAACAAGTCTGACCACCCGATCCCGTTAGTCGTCTCTTATGACAAGCATAGTCGCCTTTTATGGCAAGCACATGGGTTGCTGAAGACCTATTCTACCCCGGATCTTCACGGGTCTCCCACCATTAAGAGGACAACCAAGAAGTGTGAATAAAGAAATAATGAAACATGAATATATTTGTTGAGGTGAGAACTTTAAACGGACAGACTGATGCTTGATGTTATGAGCAATCGGGGGGCATATGACAGGCTATCAGTCAATCTCAAATTGTAGCTGCAGTATCTCCACATAAACTCAAGAGCCGTGAAGGGCTGCACAAGACGAAATTCGTGAATTGTGCAATTTGGAACGATGCATGTGATGAAACCGTTGTGTGTGTTGTTCTGTGATCCTATGTGTATCATCTTCTCGTATAAATGTTGATAATACATTGTGGCCTGTTTGCATTTCCATAGGGGCGGTGGGGTAGCCTAGAGGATAAAGCGTTCGCTCCAAACGCCAAAGGCCTGGTTCTGATTCCCAACATTGGTAAAAGCTACGTAAAACCCCAACTCACTCGCTCACTTGTATTTCCATATAGATAAATTGTGGCATTATAAAGGGTCAGTTTTAGCAAACATTTTTCTCGACTTGTCATTTACACTTATCGCAATACGTCAGCTAGAAGTTGTATCATTGGTAACCATGGTAACCGTCTAAAAACTTCTCTTGCTTGTTTGTTGTGGTGTAACGTCGCACTCAGCAATATTCCTGCGGACTGTAGTTAATCGGGTCTGGACAATCCAGTGATGATCATCGTGAGCATCGGGTCTGGACAATCCAGTGATGAACATCGTTAGCATCCGGTCTGGACAATCCAGTGATGAACATCGTGAGCATCGGGTCTGGACCAGACAATCCAGTGATGAATATCGTGAGCATCGGGTCTGGACAATCCAGTGATGAATATCGTGAGCATCGGGTCTGGACAATCCAGTGATGAACATCGTGAGCATCGGGTCTGGACCAGACAACCAGTGATGAATATCGTGAGCATCGGGTCTGGACCAGACAATCCAGTGATGAACATCGTGAGCATCGGGTCTGGACCAGACAATCCAGTGATGAACATCGTGAGCATCGGTCTGGACCAGACAACCCAGTGATGAACATCGTGAGCATCGTGTCTGGACAATCCAGTGATGAACATCGTGAGCATCGGGTCTGGACCAGACAATCCAGTGACTGACATCATGAACATCAATCCACTCTAAATGAGTTGTTTCCAGAGAAGACTGACTGACTGAGATTGGTTTTACGCCGCTTTTAGCAATATTCCAGCAACATCACGGCGGGGGACACCAGAAATGGGCTTCACACATTGTACCCATGTGGGGATTCGAACCCGGGTCTTCGGCGTGACGAGCCAACGCTTTAACCACTAGGCTACCCCACCGCCCCTCCAGAGAAGAGTATGTGAATGAATTTGGTAGAACTCAGCTTCCAACATTATATGGATCAATTCCTCAAATCATTGATAACATGGTGGCTTCACTCATTACCATGTATTTCTTCCACTGTAAAATCTCTGGACACAGGGGCGGTGAGGGTAGTCTAGTGGCTAAAGCGTTGGCTCGTCACGCCGAAGACCCGGGTTCGATTCCCCACATGGGTACAATGAGTTAAGCCCATTTCTGGTGTCCCCGACGTGATATTGCTGGAATATTGCAAAAAGCGGCGTAAAACTAAACTCAGTCACTCTCCACTGTACTCTGGACACAGAATAGATAATGAAAGAGCCGCCCCGACCTGCATTCCCACACAAATGTGTAATGCATTCCCACAAGCATACAAATGTGTAATAAATGTAGGGATCTAACGGTTCACGTCTAAGTAAACACACCTGTTTGTGTTTTTATTGTAACAAGTAATGTCTACCTTGTTTATCATCTGCAATGTATATGTGAGCAGTTACTTAAAATGTATTCTAAGATGCCTAACGGTTAGAACAATCGACAAAAAAATACATTATCAGACATTCTACCATGAATCGAGAAAATACTAGATTCTGATTGGTTGTTCAGAAAAATCAGACGGCATCAATTGTGCTTTAATTATAATAGTTCAGGGCAAAATTATACTTTATTACAAAACACATTGGGGTAGAGAGAACTTTATTTCCTAAATGTAAATTCCAAACCAAAAGGTACAAAAGCCATTGCTATTACCTTACCTTCAGCTTACATACCACGCGCCACGAATTCATCTTTAATACAATCGCCCAAATCTACTTTTTACAGTACTTTTAAATCTGTTTAAATACAGAGCAATACCTTCACGATATTAATCCGTGAAAATGCTTCGTTTCATTATCCAGATTTAGATGTTCTTCACATGATTTTATGATCGATAAGGGCAGTTTAAAGTTTGTACATTAAACGTAATTGAACTTGAGTTCCACTTTTTGCCGATTTAAGGACAAAATATCGAACACAATATTACCATACATGTTCTAACACGTGAAAATATAACTTGTGAATGAACAAGAATAATCCAAGTAATATTCGCCAACCTGGTATGTATATGTACCGTGGTACTGTCCATAGAAAAGAACATCTGCAAACATTGTGATTGTATGCCATTATTGTTAGCTGACATTGTAGGCCACAATATATATATATATATCACCTCTCTCTCTCTCTCTCTCTCTCTCTCTCTCTGCACTCTCTCACCTCACCTATCTCTCTGTCTCTGACGCATGCACGCACGCACACACGTACACACACACAAATACACACCACTCTTGGTCATTTGTTCTAATTCTGTTCAGGATTAGGCTAAGTAATGCTAATATTATCTGATATTTTTAGTGTGGATATTCGTACACCCGGAACATTTTTAAAACAAACTATTTATATCTATCTATAAAGTGTTCCTTCTAACGGTATATTCTGAAACAGGAAATTGTGATACTCATATATACATGTGTCCGTTAATAACATTCGTTGTTAAACTCTCAACCAGTGCCGTCGTCGGCATTAGAATATAATTTCTCGACATTACAAGAAAATACAGAAAAAATGTTTTATGTTTTGAACATGTATTTTTCTGCGTGCAGCATTCAGATAGAGGAGGGAAACTAGATTGGAGTTACCTCCCCTAATCACCTGTCATCTGTCAAAAAAATACACGAACATATTATAACGGCAGATAAAGTATATTTACTGTCGATGCATAATTATGCATCACGGGCATTGATAACCGATCCTCGTCTGAGTTTTCGGCAAAGGTGGCAACTTCCATACTGTCAGATTGGAGCATTGTAAAGTTGGAAAGGTCACTGGACCAACTCAGGGGTCAAGGCCGCTAGGTCAAAGTTAAAGCGATGTGGCTTGCTCATATTTCACGAAAATCATGCGAATTTGCAAACATCATTAACGAGAATGGTGTTATTATTTAAAATAACTAATGTTTAAGCATGTTGTCTATTCAATAACGCCTTTATTAATTCTGGAATGAAGTATCGAGCTTGTCACGTGACCCGTATAGGCACAACATTATTCATAAACAGACCTTCGTTTGGCCTGACAGCGATGGACTCGACTCGATAAAGTTGGATTTCTAGGACAAGATGGGAATCTAGCAACATAACACACGGCACAATGTGACCCTAGGAAAGCTTGGCTAGTTATTCCACTCGGTCTGTTGCCCGTTTGACCGTCATGAAGCCAGAGAGAGGTAGGTGAATTTGAGGAAATTGCACCTATATTTGTCCGATCTTGTCTGGTTGGAGTTGGGTGAATATTCGGCACAGCTGTTGCCTTATACGATATTCAGACATATTTTATGAAATAAATCATCAAATATTTCCCCTAGATGGCGAACCACTAGTTAATTTGGGTATTTGAACTGTGTGATGAGTGTAATTCACGATATACGCTTAGCAAGTGGTTTGGGTTTTTTTCTCTAAAACTCAGCAACCCAACTGGATAACGCCTGTCACTGACAATCAGCTGATTGCGAGGCGATTCACTCACTGCGTCCTTTGTTCGTAAAATATGAATCATTCTGAATTAAGAATGAAATCACGAATGAATATTAAACTATTATGGTTTTGTTTTGACAACAGACAATTATGATGAAATATGATCTCACTGACGGCCGCCCGAATGAACACATTTTATACGTGCTGGGTCCAAAACAGGATCGATGTTAGGCTATGGCTAACAGACATACGTGGCTGATATTACTTTACTGAACATATCATGTCTCCCTTGGAGGAAGAGAAACAATTTTCCTGTAACGAATGACTTGTAGGTCAGACATACTTTTGTTGATACTAAACTGAATCAAGGGCGTTTCCAATTGAGCAATGTGTGTTGAGTGTGAGTTGCGTCCAGTCACCCATGACCAGGTCAAGTTTTGTATGGACTGGTCAGTCCATGTATATTCTTGAAATGTGCCCAGGATTTGGTTAGCGTCTGATCATTATCATTATTGATTAATTTATGTTGTTTGCTTTGAGTGTATATTTACTGCAGAAATGTAATGAGCACATTTCACAGTTAGGCCTACTAGCAATGTACTTTTAGGTTGTTTTGATCATTGGAACAGGAACCTTTGTAGAGTGTGGACCTACAGTCTCTATGAATAGCAGTGTTTGTTTATGATTGGTTGAAAGTAATATTTAAAACAGTTGCGATGATTGACTAGTGATGATTGTCGTAGTATCTCCAGTTATACTTTTCATAATATGAAACAACAAATTTGTCAAATTCAAGTATTCAGACTATAAGAAGTATATAACCGTAACCTAAATTCGTGGATAACCTTGATTTGTGGATCACGGTAATTATCATGCTATCTCGTAAATTAAGTCTCCTATTACGTCATGTATCCGTACTTTTCATGTACACACTATGCCACACATCGCTGACAAAAATGTTCCGAATCTCTGCATGACACTACGCTAAATCTAATTGTCCAGTATTGAGATAAAAAGTCCAAGATCACTAATGCCACTATACCAAATTTTACTTTTACAAAATGTCAAGTAAAATAGATACTGTTATCACCAACCTTCTCACATCTCGTTGTCTGCTTCTCAAGGTGTAAATAGTTACTGCAATGGGCTGTCGTACATAGTGATGTATTGTAACCAACTACGTAATCCCCGAAACAAGGTGACGTCACATTTTGTGTGCACACAAATGGGTGATGATTGCAAATGGCTTTGGTAAACAAACGTTTCATTCACGAGTGGAATATTAGCCAGTTTCAATTAACTGAATCAATGAATAAAATAATCAGGTAGTATGTGAAAGGAAATTGTGCATTGAAGAGATGATTTTCACAGCACTTCCCTTATATCCACAAATCAAGGTTACGCGAGTGTATTTGCAGAGTTTCGTTGAAACAATTATGAAATCAAAATAGCATATATATCTACTAGCACTAGTAGTGTTCCATTCACTTATTAATGACTGCAAATGTACACTTTGTATGGCTGAAACTCTGATTTGGCAGTTGCCACCACATCAGCATTAGTGAATAGATAATAGGTTGCGTTTGTTTGTTTGCTTGCTGTTTAACACCGCACTCAGCAATATGGCAGCGGTCTGTAAATAATCGTGTCTCAGACAATACATACATATACATACATACTAAGATTTGTATAGCGCCAATGTCCAGCTTAGCTGCTCAAAGGCGCTTTGTTTTCTCTTGATAATTGGATGTCAATCTCAACGGCACATCATATTATCAATCTCAACTCCCCTTTGATCATACAACTCTTGCAGCCATTTAGGCGCATCAAGTTATTGCGTCTTTCTCATCCTTACAAGGTACCCATTCACAGCTGGGTGGACTGGGACACATAGTCACAGTACCTTGTCCAAGTGTACTGCACATTGCTTTACCCGCAACTAGGTGTTTGCACGTATTCATGTGGCCACCATCAGGTCATATACCAACGGATTCGTGGGTTCTTTTAAGTGCACAGGGTTGTGTACTGTACACTGGGGGTTGTGACAACACTGAAAGAGTCTGCACACAAAGTTGACTTGAAGGTTTTTTACACCCGATCACAGGTGGGCTCGGCCCCGGGACCTTATGCTCGCTGGATCACTAACTTGGTGCATAAAGCAGCTCGCCCACTGCACCATCCGGTGATTGACACACATGGGATATAATGACATGTGTCAACCAAGTCAACAGCATGAGCCGCAATGGGACATGTGTCAACCCAGATCCTCCTGTTAGTCTCCTCTTGCGACAAGGGTGGGTTGGCACCGTTGCTGATGATCAGTTCATGGATAGATGGGTTGTGTGAAATTATTACATGCCACAGTGTCTAACAAAGGAAATGCAATATTCTGTTTTATTACCTTCGATGGCGAAAATATTGGGTTTCAACTTTCATATTTCTCATACGATGCTTTAGGGCAAAATATCGCTTCGTCATGAAGAATGCTATGACGTCATGTTTCTTCAAAAACGTTGAGCTCTACATGCAGTGATGGCGGGTAGCCAGCCTATTTTTGAAAGTAGATTTGGATTTATTTTCCTCAATTTGACGACTTCGGTAATAAATAGAATATTAGATTCATGCCCCTATCATACAATGTTTACGACACTCGTAAATACCGACATTTAGGCTTTCATGTCATACACATGGACATTCCTATAATATCCTGTATATAACACTGCAGCAGACAGACATCGCAGTACATCCTGAAGTAGCACTATCTGTAAGGCTGTGTTGATCTGGCTGACTTGCGCAACACACTCTATACATGCATGTTGCTGTAAGCAATCGCTATGTATAAACCACTTCACCACTCACTAATCTATAGGTTGTTGTGTTTTTTTTTTTTGTCTCATAAACCACTTCACCACTCACTAATCTATAGGTTGTTGTGTTTTGTCTCACATGAATACACAATGCCATTTTAGAAAGTCATCAAATGTAATGTAAGTTGGACCGGCGAGAAAACATGTTTACGAGAAGTAGGTGGTGCATGGCAGTGAGCTAACCCATTTCGTTTGTGAAAGGTAGAGCGGATGTAGGCTAGTGCATGTGCATCGCATGACAATGAAATTGATTCTGCACGTAGCTCTACACGCCTTGCTCATAAGACTCACACGTCGCACTACACTTGATCGCGGACAACCTTGGGCCCCTTCGCTAACAATGGCAAACGCCAGTGGGCAGCACTCATACATGTTAATAGGGTCAATTGTCAGGCCGGTGCTCAACTTATCCTTGTTTGCCAGTACTAATTGTTTGATCGACTTTCTAGAAGTTGGTGAGTCAGTAATGATGTTTGATCGACTTTCTAGAAGTTGGTGAGTCAGTAATGAAGCATGCGACTTCAGGTGAGCGCCCCTACTTCTCCCCAGAAAACAATTTCCCTGAGCGGCTTTTCTCCCTAACCTTTGGACTTCATGATTTATTTGCACCCCCCTTCTCCAAAATCCTGGATCCATCCCCGGACTTCATGGATGACCCTTGATGTGCTGTCGGTATTATTGTGCATCTCTCTGGATGCAGTATTTTAGGGTTTCTGTGTCCATTCTCTGCATGTGTGGGGCGGTGGGGGTAGCCTAGTGGTTAAAGCGTTGGCTCGTGTTTGATTCCCCACATTCTACAATGTGTGAAGCACATTTCTGGTGTCCCCGTGTATTGCTGGAATATTGCTAAAAGCGGCGATCACTCACTCACTCTCTGCATGTGTGTGTACCAGATGCACCAGTTGTGCGTTGAGTTGGGATTTACATGGAGTACTGTATTTGAGGGTCCCTGGGACTCATACTCTTAACTTTCAGGGGTCCTGGACAAGAAAATGGGGGACCCAGACTGTTAAATATTATTATTAACACAATGTTGTAATATTGTTGCAAAGCAGTTACTGTATTGTATTGTGTACCATGATCATCACATTGTTACACTAATTAATTTGCAAATAATACATAACCCAGCCTGCAGCAAACTCAGTGATAACTTATTGTCGCTTTATTGGAATTTTTACAAAAAGTATTTGGACGTTTTCTGAGTCCCTGTGGACGCGCTAATAATCTTTGTTGCGTCCATTGTCAATTTTCATCCGTATAGGATGCAGGAATTCGCGTTCTGTAAATCCCTGGCGTTGTGTAAAACCCTGCCTATAGCTCTGAGAACTTAGGAATTTCCATCAATACTTGGTTACAAATCGTCAGATTTTGAGATCACGATACACAATAAATAGAAGAGGAAGTATAGAGTTACAGTCTGTTTATCCAAATGAGAAACATTAATTGCAAGATAACATAAACTTGGGAATAATCGGAAATATAACGATTCTGAAACAATGTTCTCAAATATCTGTGTTCAACAGAACAAATTGACTACAAACGCGGTTCATTTTGGGCGCGTGTTGTTCAGGGAGTTGTGAGACAATTTAGCCGTATCAAGTTACCTTCCTGATTTCATATGAGTCGACAGATGGTTTTATCTGTTATGAAATAGGTTGTAATTACTGGTAATTACTGTTAAGCTTTACCATCTGTTCAGTTTTGGAATGTAAATGCTCCACATCACAAGGATGGTTTTGTTGACATTTCTACAACTGTGCTTGGTCCAAGAAAGGGCTGCTCTCATTTACTAAACAAAGTATATGGTCATATGTTGACACGGTAATGAATGCTAAGATGATTTATTATAATGATGATTGTGCAGATCTGGGTTAGAATTGATCTTC